TCAAATATTTTTAATACAATTTTAAAATCAAATCATGGTTTCCCTCAAAACAGAATACCTAACACTACATCAGCCTAGTTCAGTCCATTAATAAAGATGTCTACAGGGTAAAAATGCACATGAACTTTATGCCAACTTTGGGACTTTTCAAGCACTCCTTTACTGAATTGTAAATTACTTAGTGATAATCCCAAATCTGAAGTGCATTCAAAGAAGACTGCAATTCAACTAATAATGATTCTTGCTTTCTCTCCTTATACTTAACCAAACTAATTCATTTAGAAATATAAGATACTTAAATCAACATAGTCCCAGCAAAATAAGGGAAAATACATTTAGTTAAACATTTCATTTTGTCAATCTCCTTTTCATTCTCAGACTTCAGGTTTGGCTCAGTCCTAAACAAATCTGTCCCCAACCAGCCGAACATTCAGAAGAGGCTTTTCTCTCTAGACCACTCTCTAGGGAGTCACCAACATTCTGATTCTAAGGTCAGAGCTTGTATTCTCATATCTAGAAAAGCCAATGTATGCTCCTTAGCACAGCATCTAAGATTTACTAAATTTGACCCAGTCTTCTGTTCAATGGTCTAGTTTCCCCTCCACTGGCCCCCTATCCACCAAGAAGCCTTATAGAACACCAATTAAGAGACAAGTTATGAAATCAGAAAGTGAGAGTGCAGTTTGTGACCTCCCTAGCTAGAAGTGTACTCAAACAGTGCTTGCTCACAGAACCTTAATCTCAAAATAAATGAACTACAAGAATAAGAAACAACAGTAAAACAAATTCCTACAGTCCAGCTTAACTTCTAGCTTCTGGGTAAATTATAGAATTAGCAAATATTTTGATGAGCCTTTTTTTTTAATCTTTCCATTTTATAAAAATATAGAAACTAAATCCCAAGAAGAAAGATTTTTTCTTCTTTTTTTTTAGTTCATAGGAGTCAAAAAAGAAAGGATAGACCCAGTACCTCCCCTTCCTAATTTGCAGGATAATGGTCCATCACTTCACAGTGAATGACTGGGGTTACTGCTCATTTTCTAAAATGTCGCATCTACATTATAGTGTGCAAATATATCTTGTTATGGTTTGTGTATAGGTGTCCTCCTGAAGCCTCTGGAGGCAGCTTCTGGAGTTTGTGATTAATTATTGTGGGAGTAGATGCTGTAACTGCCCTGGAGCAGATAATTAAATTAGAATGTAAGGAGGGGAGAGAGGCTGGCTAGTTGCCTGAGCTGCTGCCAATCCCTTTGCTCTCTGTTCTTCGCTACTGCCATGAAAGTTTGCTCTCTGCCATGTGTCACTCTGCCTTGGAGCCAGCTGACTATGGCCTAAAACCTCCAGTAACTGTGAGCTAAATAAATATTTCCTCCCCTTATGTTTGGTATTAGGTATTTGTACCAACAATGAAAGAAGAGTAATTAAGATAGAATTTGGTATCAGAGGAGTAGGGTTGTTGCTGTGACTACCTGACCATGTGGATTATAAACTTTTGGGAATGGCTTATGGGAAGAGATAGGAGAGGTTTGGAGATGTTGCCTATAAGAGACGTGCTAGGATAGCTTCAGCTGTTGTGTTTGGGAGATTCTGGTCAGAGCACAGAAGACCAGAAGACTGATAGAAATCCCACCTGTAAAGACCAGGCTGGGGAAGTCTCTGCTGGGAAGAAGCACTGCATTGGTTGTTGGACTCTGGATCATTTGTGTTATGGGTTGGCAGAAAGTTTGTCTGCATTTTGCTTGTGTCCTGAGACTGAGATTAAGCATGATACACTGAATAATCTGGTAAAAGAAATTTCAAAGCAGCCAAATATTGAGGCAGTGGCATTGCTGTTGCTGAGAGTTTTTAGTCAGATTTATGTTGAGAATGAAGAGCAAAGAGCCCAGCAGGATGATTTAAAATGTGAATTTGGTCAGAAAGGAAGCTCTAATAAAGCTGTGGACTGCAAAGATGAAGCTGAGAGTATCCCCATTGCCCAGAAGGAACAAGAGAATGGAAAGGAGGCCTGAGGGCATTACAGGAGATGACAGGTCTCTGCCCTTTGCAGCCTCAGAATTGCAAGGGTGAGGGACTTTGCCTTGAGGGGAAAGCCACTGAGCCCCATGTTCCAGAATGGTAGCATCAGCCATACCAGGTTCTAGAACGGCACTAGCATGGAGAATTTATTCCTTGGAATCAGGGTCAGAGTGCTTAGCAATTCAGGCACTCAATCCCTACATCCAAGAGAGAGGAAAGCCTGGATACTGCCCTCACTGGGGGTAGACCCTGGCATCATCCACATGGTATTGGTTTTAGTCACTTGCAGAATGCAGGAGTTCTGAGGTTAAGAAGGCTTCCACCTCAATTTCAGAAGGCCTGGGAAGCCAGGCAGTGTGCTCCTTGTAGGGCAGTGTATAAAGCTGTGAGTGAGAAGCCTATTCAGTGGAAGCCCCAGAAGTTTGGAAAAGCAAGAAACATGAATCATATAAGGGAAACTGTAAGGAGGGAGCAAAGCCAACCTAAGAGAAAAGCTATGGGAGCTACCACCAAGAGTCCTATGAGGGCGGAGCCACATGGAACTCACAATTTGCCACAGATTGCTTCAGATGCTCCACATGGACTTATAGGACTTAATGTTTGCCCTGCTGGATTTTGGACTTGTGTTGGACACAATGCTTTGTATTCCCCTGTTGTTTGTACCTTTTGGAATGGTAATGTTTTGTTTGTACCTTTTGGAATGGTAATGTTTATCTTGTGCCATTGAAAGTTGGAAGTGTTTAACTTTTCATTTGTACAGAGGCTCATAGCATAGAGTTTGCTTTTGATCATGGAGGAGACCTGGGACTTGGAATTTTCAGCAATGCTGAAACTGTAGGATTCTGGCAAATCTTAGAGGTGGAATAAAATGTCTTTTGCATAAAGGGATGCGCATGAGTCTTTGGGGATCCAGAGGCAGAATGTTATGGTTTGTGTATAGGTGTCTTCTCAAAGCATTATGCCATCATGGGGTGGCTTGTGGAGCTTGTGATTGATTATTATGGGTGTAGATGTTGCAACTACCCTGGGGAAGGTAATCTCTGCATTAGAATGTAAAGAGGGGAGAGAAGGTGGCTAGCTGCCTTAGCTGTTGACAATCCCTTTGCTCTCTGCTCTCTGCCATGTGCCACTCTGCCTTGGAGCCAGCTGAGTATGGACTGAAACCTCCAGTAATTGTGAGCTAAATAAGCCTCTCTTTCCTTCGTTTTGGGTGTTGGGTATTTGTCCCAGCGATGAGAGAAGTTAACTGAGATACATCTTAATAATCATATACTTGTAATTGCTTTTGTTTTTGGGATTTATTTAGGCTGGTTCAGGCTGCCTTAAGGGGGGTCTGGGGAACTGCATTATCCTGTGCCTGACTGCATTTGTATAAGCAGGTGCTTAAACAACTAACCAACAGGCCCCCTAATTGATTATTCTTTTAGAACTGCTCCATATATTTATTTTTTCTCATCAACTACTTATGAATTCTGTGAGGACAAGGATGGCTCACATCTCCCTGCAGCCTCCATAGTTCTGAGCACCAGCTGGATGCCAGTGGATCTCCCATTAACTATGCCTGATGGCAGAACACAGCTTAGAGTCTCTGATTTTAATGATTTAGATTATTTACAAAGTCCAATTTGACCTAGAAAACTCAAATTGCACCAAATGTGTATCATGTGCATGCAGCATTATACAGAGTGTTACTTGCAGTCACTCAGGAACTCAGTCCAACACTGCTAGTGCCCTCTCCTAATACACATATGAGGGGCCTGGAGCTGATAGCAAGCACTTAGGGGCAAGCCCACATTCAGACAGATATCAGGTCACACAGCAAGCTACATAAAAAGGTAAGAGTCAGTGTTGAAAGGATCTGTAGAATGCAGGAAAAATGACCCACTATGCATGCTTCTAAGCCTACTAATTTGCTAAATGCATGTTATCTTCATAACAGGAATTAATGCCATTGAACATTAATAAAATTAACAGGAATTAATGCTGCTGGATTTAACTTTTTCATTCCGTAGTGATACTGTCTACTGATATTATATTAATTAATAATATATATCTGTGTATATATATGTATTCATGCATTATATATATGTTCATGATTCATGAAATTGAGATTTATTTTACAGTATAATTATATGACATCTATTCTTAGCCATGATAAATGATATAAGTATCCAAAGTAATTAAAATAAAAGCAGACAGAAAAAATAAAGAACAGGATTATATAATAAATTTATAAGATCAATATAATACTCTTTAAATATTATGAAATAAAATATGTAAGAGTTCACCATTGTCTCATTATCTTCTAGAAGTAGGTGGTCTATTATTCCTATCAGTTTCTCTCTGCCAATTCAAAACTAAAAACAACACAAGTTTGAGGATGCTAACCAAGTATCTTCTAAAAGTGAATAAAACTCAGAAAAGATAAATAAAAGACAAATTTTTAAGGGCCCATTAGCTACTTCTGTCCAGCATTGGTCCAGCACCTGTTTACTTTGCAAATATATTACTGTCTGCCTTGCAAAGTTGAAAATATCACGTGTTCAAAAGCTCTATGGGTATAAATCACTCTTCATCATCCCAGGATACTGAGCAATTCTGGAAGAAACTAGCTCACCCTTCCCAATCCATACCAAAGCAGGAGAATAAAATTTTGACAGTTCTGATTGTCCCCAGAACTAAGTGGAAATCATGATTCATCCTCTAATTCCATTCCATTATCGCTGTTCAAATATAGTTTTCCTTGGATGACAATGGAAAACTCACTAAACAACGCAAAGAAACTTGTATTTCAGGCTTCCTTTGAGTTTGCATTCTTGCACTTTAAACTCCTAGATCCAAATCTGAAATCAGAGCAGTCATGCACACATTGGGTCTATGATGCACAGTCATGGCGTGTCTCATATGTGTTTCCAAAGGACATTAACCAAGTAAGAGAAACAAATTTAAAAATCAAAAAGCATTCAAAAGGAGCCATAACTCACGATGTTCATCAGGGTGAGGAGGTAGTTCTGGACATGCTCCTTGCCATGGAAACGGACCACAGAGTCATCCACTCCCAGCAGCACCTCGATGCTGTATTTATCTTCTGCGTGTCTTCGTTGCCTCATGGTCTCATTCACCTGCTGGGCAATGCTACTGTACACTGCACCTAGATCAATGCCTTCTATGTTGGACTCTATGAAGACAAAAGACACCCACACATTCAGTCTCCTCAGTGGCCTTTTAAATATGTTCTTAGAAAGCCGAGCCTCCTTGGGCCCATCATTATAAGCTAGAATCCCCTCATTTGATGCTGCTTTTTACTTCACTTCTTAAGTAATGGGCACATTTTTCTGAGCAGAATAGTATCCTACAAATTCAACACAGAACGGCAATATTAAGGATAATAAGCTACTGTCCTAAAATCAGTGCCACCAGGCCAGAGTGAATAGTCCCTGAGGGTTAGGGTTTATCTTTCCTAGCTGTATCCTAATTTTATATAACCACAAAAGCAGTTAGGGGTGAGAACCAGGTGGATTACATTACTGTTAAGTAAATTTCATTAATAAAAACCATACATCAGTATGTTTATGATGCTTATTCTAAGGTACTATAATCATATAGAATTAAGATGACCTCAACTAAAATCACTTTTCTTCTTAGTAACCTTAGTTATAATCAAATTATAGCATAGTAATACGATTGCATTTTATGATATAGTTCTTGAGCATCCTGGGTAACTTTACCTATTCTGAGGTACGCTTGTTTACAGAATGCTTCAAGAGTAAAAGTGTGTGGTACAGAGAAATGTTATTCAGTACTATATTTCTGTGCATTTGCATTGGCTATCATTTGCATAGCAGATAATTTCCTGTTCCAGGGTCCACAGGTCATTTGAATTCATGTCTGACACTTAATAAATGCATATATTTTTCTCTCTACCTTTGTCATTTTTGTGAAAGTGGAGGGGAAAGTGTCTCCTGGCCAGAAAGAATGATGGCCAACCATCACTCACCTGTAATTGGAAGGAGCGGAAGCACAGATCTCACCGATACCTTTCAACCTTGGAAGCATCTATAGCAACACCACCTACTGCCCTGCAAAGATCAGCATGGCTTTGCCCACCAAGGCTCTACCAGACACTATGTTCCATGGCACAGCTGCGTGCTTGTCCCTGGGGCATTCTCTCCTCACATCAACTCCACCATGTGTAAATAAGTCTCAGAACTGTCTACATCCAACAGGAAGCTGTCTCCAAAGTCATCTTTCCACAGCTGCAAATGAGCGGTGGGGTAGGGAGACTATGCTGTGAACAGCTTCCAATTTGGCCTCAGGTCATGTCCATACTGGAGAAGGACAGAGGTGGCCCTGTTTGCAAACAGAATATTCCCAGGGGAGTTCTTGTTCTGATGGCTCTTCCCCAGGATTGTGGCCATTGTATCCTGGAGATTCACAAGCAGAGCCATGGTCACTGGCCAGGGCATGAAGGTAGAAGGCCAGAGGCAGGTCAGCCTGATCACTCCCACACTTGAGGTCTGCATCCCACCCCTCCTGACATATGGTTTTTCTGATGGAGAGAGAACAATTTTGCAGTAGTGTGACAAATCCGGAGAGGAAGAAGGGAATCCTTCAGACCCAGAATGGTCACCATGGCTGTGATGTGGAACATGAACATGCTATCATCCTTACAGGGAGCTAAATGCTATGTGAGACTTCTTGATGTGAGTGAGTCTATCTTCTCTGACTTGCACAAAGAAGCGATCTACGCATCACCAGCATGGGCTTTCTGATTAGACATACATGCCTTTAAGTCAGAATAATAATCACTTTCTAACAATGTGAATTTACATAAGTTGCTAAATTCCCTCAATTCTCAGTCTTCTCATCTGTAAAATAGGATAAATATCTAATTTTTTAACAGTTCTTGAGAAAATTAGTGCTAATTATAGCAAAATCATTGTGCGCAGTGCTTAGACATACTATCTTCTACAAGTGGCATTCACTGCTGGCACTTCAGATGAGCCTTAGATTTTAAAAGCATCTTATCTTTTATGTATGACAAATTTACCTATTATTTTAATTGCAGTTATTTTAAAACAAAAGTGAAAGGAAAGTCTGGAACTGGAGAAGGGAAATCTGAGCCGCTGGTAATTGAGAAGAACAAGAATAATATCTGCAGAGCACAGAAGAGATGGACAGGAATCTAATTTCAGTTAAAATTAAACCTAGTGACATATGCTTGCTTAGTTAAAAGCCTAACAAATTGGAAAGGACAGTGCTCATCCTCACCCAAAAGGTGACCTAGAGGATGGAAAGGACCCACCCCACCTCTCTAGGAGCTGAACCCAGGAACAGGGCTAATTTGTATCGTATACTGGCGAACTATTATGAAGGCTTGGGGCACTTGCACAACTGCTAGGTTTAGGTAGACCTATAAGAGTGCTATGAAATTCTATTATAAGAGTTAATACCTCTCTGCAGCTTTAGTTTAACAGATGATATACTCTGTGACAGAACCTTAGATGCCTTGGCCTCTAATCTCCTTATCATCTCTAACCATAAGGACACAGGAAGAGAAACAAAAGTTGAATGAGTTTCAAATCACGTATAAACTCTTGTACATCTACATCCTAATTAGGGCTGAGGAAAGGCACACAGAGGCCTTAAGGAAAATAAGATGTCGAAGCAGGGCCAAGATGGTGACTTGTGCCTGTAATACCAGCTACCTGGACTCTGAGGCAGGAGATCATACATCTGTGGCCAGCATGATCAACTTAAGAAGACCTTGTCTTAGAGCAAATGAGTCAGAGATGCTGGCCAATGGTAGAATGCTCCTGGCAGAGGGGAAACAAAGAGAATAAAAAAGAGAATGTGAATGGAAAGACATCACAGAAGAGAAGACAGAATAAGAGCAAGAGCAAGAAGGAGGCAGGAAGAATGAAGAAATAAAGAGAGAGAAGAAAAAGTGGGAGGAAGAAGAGCAGAAGAAGAGAAGAGAGTAGCATTTATATTGGATGGATAGCAAAGATTTCGCATCTCTGCTGAACTCTGCTGGCATCTGCTACCTAAGTAGTAATGTTACCTCAAAGGATTGGACACATTTGGCAGCAGAGTAAGATAACAGAATTACTAAGAAATCAAGAACTAGGAAGAGCCTGTTAACAGTTGTGCTCTTCATGGAGTGTGAGAAGCTAGAGAAAGCAGCAGAAGTCAAATGAGGGGCAGGACCTGACCTTGGCAGTTACCACAAAGATTCATACCTAGGAAGTATTTTATATGTTTCATTTACCCACTGGCTTTCCAATTGCTATACATGTATATGAAGAAAAAGAATCATTTTAGCCCTCTTTTATCAGAATGAATTTTTGGGAAACACATAAGTAACCCATGAAGTCACACTAAATTTACCTGTTTCAGCATTAAATACAGGTTATTTTTGTGAAAACAGAATTTTCTATTTCCTAAGTAGATGAAATAAAATATAATTAATTTTTCTGCTCATGGAGACAGACTTGAAACATTTTCAGGATACAATATGGCATGTTTTTAATGCCCAATCACATTTACAGGTAAGCAAAGTATATGGTTGGTAAAATTATTTTCCCCCTCAGAAAAAAATGTTATGGGTTGAAAAAGTACAGGCAACAAAAAGTAAAAATAGAAAGGTAAGTTCTGATTGCATTCTGAGTCTAATACAAAGTCATGTGTTGTTGGGTGAATCTCATGCACACTATGACAGTCATTCACTTGGTAGCCACTCTTTCCTTCCTAGGGAGCAGAATGCCAAATTTTTTAAAGACAGCAAAAAGCTCAGCTTAAAGTAAATCCTAGCTTCTCTTGCAACTAAAGATTATATATGACTAAGAATATGCAAATAAAATCTGAACAGAAGTCCAGTTTGTAACCTAGCTACTCATTTGGAGGGCTGAAGATGGTTCCCTTGGAAGGTTTCCAGGAAAGCTCCTCCAGTGCAGGCAATTTTTCCTGGACATGGCCCTTTAGTCCTTCCTGCTGGATGGAGTATGGCTATAGCAGCAGGAGCCCTATGAGCTGAGTTCAGGCTCATGCTGAGTATAGAGGTGGATGCACCGAGCCAGTTGCCCTGGAACTGTAGGACTACTGACCCAGTCCTGGCTTCTCTACCTGGTATTGTGTTTAGAACGACACTCTGACAGGTTTTCTTTCCTGTGTCACTGACTCTAGCCCTCAAATTTATGACAGGGGCAATATTTAATTTTATTGGCATGATTTCACCTGTGCTTCTACTACTTATAAGGATGCAAGCTAATTTTCATGCTAATAAGTGAATTATAATTTAAGACTTTATCAAAATGATTCACCACCGCCTTTCATTGTAGTATATCTACTTTAGAATATGAGGAAGATTCATGTTGTTTTGCAGTAACAATAAACACTGAATGAATCTGTATGTAGAAATTTGGCATCCCTTGTAAATAGAATACTGTTATAAAAATGAAGTCACTGGAATACCACGAGCTAGATTTTCCAAGAGTAGGTGGAGATCTTATGATCAGAGCTAAAATCAGATGTAAAATCCTGCAAATGCCATCTGCTAACATCAGAAGCACTGAGCAGTTAAATTTCATAGACCTTTTGTATCATTCAGTAATGTTTTTCCAATGATAAGCTTTTAAAATTTAAATTAAAGCTTCTACTTTAATAGGATACTGTAACATTATCTCCAAATACATCAGCACTATTCTACCAAGGTATAAAATGTTTCTGTGAAAAGTTGCTACATCTTTTACCAACTAGGAAATTCTATAATGATGATTCAAAGAACTATATTTAGGCCAGTGTATAATCTCAATTCAGAAGCTATTCCTTAAAAAAAATATTACCAGTTAATGAATACTACTTTCTGGTGTCATTTTCCCCTACAAGCTCTAATGTTAAAATGCATATATTCATTTTTGTTTTCACTAATTACTTTAAAGGATAATACATGGAGCTTTTAAATGAGAAATTCTGTCTTTTAAATTAGGTTGTAAATTAAAAAGTGATGTTTGCATACATTGGGTTTGTGATCATAACCAAACAAAATGAAAGGGTAACTTCAATGTCAAAAAAATATATTTCTGTTTTTCAATAACGTTCTTCTATACCTCAGGTTTAAAAAAAAAGTTAGAACATAACATTTTAACTGGGATGAGGAAAAAGATGAAAAAGGAAAGA